AAAGGATGTCTGCTGCCCTCTCGCACATCACCCTGGCCAGAGTGGCACTGTGCAGCTCAAGTCCAAGTGTCTGCACTGGACTGTTGGTAGCTCAGAGTCTTAAACTCACCCTGCTTTCATTGTGAATGAGAGGCACTAAAATCAGCATGCCAACACCATTTTGGCAGTCCAATTTCATACAAATAGGTGAAAGAAATACCACACCACCTAGTTAGAGTGAGTTGCTTGCCAGGCTGTTTCCCCAGAACCAGAGCTAGCCTCAAGGCATCAGGATAATTCCATAGATGTGAGTCCTTGAGCTTCTCAGGGCATCTGGTCCACCCCACATAAGTGAGAGAGGGATGGAGGTAAGGTAGAGAGTTGAAGAACTTTCCAAAGAAAAGAAATAGAGAATGAGGCCCACAGGGAATGGACTTGATCTGGGACTGGGTCACTCTGCCTAGATGGCACTTCTAACTCTAGCCAGTAGCAACAACTGGAGTGAGATTTATATAATTTCAAGGTAGAAATTTCTGGCTAACAGGATCCACATAGGGCCTTGTCTGGGCTTGGGGCACCCAACTAAGATGGCATTGTTGGCTTTGGAGGGGCACTTGGAACATTCCGGGCTATACCAATTCAAAGAGCAGTACTCTTTAAAGCACAGGGTCTGGGCAGGGGACCGCTTACCTAGGTCAAATGACAGTACTACCACTAGCCACTGGATATAATTCACTAAGACTTAACAGTAGCAGCAAGAAAGTGGGTTCAATGCTGAACCAACAAACCTTCTATCCATCCATTCATTCATTCACCCAGCCACCAAAAAAATGTCTAGTGAGCACCCACACTGTGCCAGTATTGTGTTAGGTTCAGGAGAAACAGAAGTGGGCCTTCTCAACCATTATCTACCCCACGCTAGTTCTGCAGAATAAAAAAAAGAGGGGGAAAAAGAAAAAGGAAAACAATTAGATACAGATGACAAACCTCTCATACAGCTGTTCAGTTAACAACTTTTCTCAATTATGGCTGTTGAAAGTCTAGTCACTATGATTATATACAATTTACCCCAAAACTTTGTAGCTTAAAACAATGACAATATTTCCTTTGCTCATGAGTCTATTTGGGCGGGGTTCAAAAGGTTTAGCTTGTCTCTGTCCTGCTTGGTGCCAGGTGGGGTGGCTTGAAGCCTGGGGACTGGAATCATCTGAAGCTTTCCTCATTGACGTGTCTGGCTATTGGTAGTGTCAGCTGAGACCTTAGCTCAGGCTGTCAGCTGGTGTACTCCACATGGTCTCTTCATGCGTCCTGGGTTTCCTCCCAACATGGTGGCTGAGTTCCAAGGGTAAGCATTGCAAAGGAGGGTGAGCTAAGTGGAAGCTGTATCCTCTTCATGGCCTAGCCCTGGAAGTCACGTAGCATTACTTCTGTCCAATTGGCCAGAACAGTCACAGTTCCCAGCCAGACTCAAGGGGAGGGAACATGGGTCCCAACTCTCAGTGAGAAGTATGTTGGTTACATTGTTTTGTTTTATTTATTTTTGGTTAATCCTCACTTGAGAATATTTTTCCATTGGTTTTTAGAGTGGAAGGGAGGGAGGGAGAGAGAGACACACACATTAATGTGAGAGAGACACATTAATTGGTTGCCTTCTGCAGGACCCCAACCATGGTGGGGGATCGAACATGCAACCCAGGTACATGCCCTTGACCGGCAATTGAACGTGAGACCCTTCGGTCCACAGGCTGACACGAACCACTGAGCCAAACCAGCGAGGGCTATTGTATTTTTTTAAAATTGATTTTAGAGAGAGAGAGAGAGACAGACAGAGACAGAGATACATCAATTGGGTTGCCTCCTGTATGGGCCCTGACCCCTGACTAGGGATTGGACCCAAAACCCTTTGATATACAGAAAGATGCTTTAACCACGGAGCACATCGGCCAGGGTGAGTGTTGGTTACATGTAAGAAGAACTGTGGGATGGGTTATATAGATTGGTGTGATCAACTTTGTTAAAACAAATCTGCCACAAAGGATTAACTGCTCAATTTTTTCCTTTTTTTGAGTGCAATGCCTTTCGATATATAGTAAAAATATATTAAGTGATATTTTGATATTACAGTTTCAGATGAAGACACTCCCCCAATTTACTCTGTGTTTCTAGTTATAAATTATGATGTGGAACAAATTTGAATTGTGTACTGTGTTTGGAGAATCCATGTTTTTACTCTGTATAGCATTTCACATCTCTTCAGTCCATTGTGCATGCACTCTTTTCCAACATTTCAAAGTGTTCTGATTAAAGTTTAGTCTTTAATTTTCCTTCAAGGTGTGTGTGTGTGTGTGTGTGTGTGTGTGTGAGTGTAACTTTATTTTTATGTTGGTTTAAGTGAAGCTATAAAAACATTTTAAAAACTAGTAAAGAGCCCTGGTTTGGTTTTGCTCAGCGGTTAGCGCGTCAGCCCACAGACCAGAGAGTCCCGGGTTCGGTTCCTGCTAAGGGCATGTGCCTTGGTTTGTCCCCAGCCCCAGTTGGGGTCGTATGGGTGGCAGCCATTTGATGTGTCTCTCTCACATTGATGTTTCTCTCTCTCTTCCTCCCTCTCTCCCTCCTGCTCTATCTGAAGATAAATGCAAAAATGTCCTCCGGTGAGGATTAAAAAAAAAAACTGGTAAAGAAAAAGGTGCAGGAATATAACATTACCGTTTTAAAAAAATTTTTTTCTGTATTAATTTTTTTAGAGATAGAGTAACAGAGAGGGAGAGATAGAAACATCAATGAAGGAGAACATTGATTGGCTGCCTCCCGCATGCCCCCCACTGGGGATCAGGCCCACAGCCTGGGCATGTGCTCTGACCGGGAATTGAACCAGTGACCTCTTGGTGCATGGTTCAATGCTCAGCCACTGAGTCACACCAGCCGAGCATAACATCACCTTTAAAGCATGACTAGCTAGCATCTTTCCTCCACCAACCCCCACCTAATAATATTAAATCTTGTCTTCCTGGCCAGTAAAATAAGTCCTTATACCTTATTTTATGTAAAAGCCATATTCTCAAGTTAAAAGTATTTATTACTTATATAATTTTTTGTTTGCATTATTCCATTGATATATTTTTCTGTTAAAAGTGTTTAGGTGTCTTGGGTTGGAATTGAACACATATTTTTTTCCCCATTAAAATGAGGCAGAATTTTCAGGAATGAATTAAAGTCACCAGCTGGGAGATAGATGTATTTTCATCATCTCCCCAAGTGCTTGTAGATTGCATCCTAGTCCTCTGTGTCTGTCACTTTTTCAATTTGCATCACCCATTGGTCTTCCAATTTGTCAACTCCATTATCAGCCCCTTACCTGTCTGATATATTATAGATGTGTTAGTATGGGAAGACTCAGGGAAGTCCTGAGGATGAAAATCTACCTCTGTAAACAGAGGGCAGGGAAAGACTGAAGAAAGAAGCAGGCCACTTCAGTCTGATAATTAATAGAGCTTATTTATTTATTTATGATTTTTAAATGTTTTTTATATTGATTATTTAGAGAGATTCAGAAGGGAGAGATAGAAACCTTGATGTGAGAGAAACATTGATCAGCTACCTCCTGTATGCCCCCCACTGGGGATCGAGCCCTTAAATGGGGCACATGCCCTGACCAGGAATCAAACTGGGGCCTCTCAGTCTGTAGGACGATGCTCAATCCACTGAGCCACACCAGCGGGGCTTGAGTGAGCTTCTTAAGATATTTGTGACATGGTGTTTAATAGAAATGTTTTGCTTTGATCCACAAAATGTTCTGGATATAGCCCTGCTTCTGTCCTGGAACATTCTTCCTCCTTGTTCTTTCCTCCTTTACTATCTTTCTGTTGATGGTGGTGGTGGTGGTGTGTGTGTGTGTGTGTGTGTGCGGGGGGGGGGGGGGTGTAGGGGGTACAAAGTCTGGAAGAAACACTTCTATTCGTTTTACAAGTATAGCAGTTCCCTTGTCACTCCTCCCTCCTGGTCTCTTCTAACTGAAGATAAGGAGGGGGAGTCAGTATCTTTGCTTCCTTCTGCTCTTTTCTGACAACTGTACCTTCAATACTACTCAGCACTCTGGTCCCTTCTCCCTGAATATCAAGGGCAGTCTCAAGGCCAGGTCCTCCTTTGTCTTCTCTCTTGGCCCAAGTTTCCTCCTTTACACTTCCAAGCACTTGGACTGTACTTCTCTAATGGTATTTATTATTTTCTTCGTTGAAGCTAAAACCAAATTATTGAAACTGGTACTGTTTACAAAATGTGTTGTACATAGGTGCTCAAACTGGTATCTCCTCCTATAATTATTAATAATGTCTTATCGCCTATATAAGATTCAGCTCCTTAATGAGAGGCTCTGAATCTGATGTCTCTGATTCATCTCTGTAACCCACTCGGCCTGGAATTGAGCACTGCACAAAACTAACGCTACACCTGCGGGTAACGAGCAACATTTCAAAGGGTACTGCAATGGGATGTGAGAAATTTCAGAACCTGGGTGAGAACCAGAATCTTGCAGAGAAGGCCCTAAATCCATCCGCACCTAAAACAGGCCAAGTCCGGATTGATTCACAGGGACGCAGGTGGAGCGCTGGCCCGCATGTGCTGCGATGAGGTCTGCGCACTCGTCATTACACTCCTCCCCCTCCCCTTGATCCGGAAAGGCAGGAGGGAATGTGCCTCGCGCGGCGATCTGGGATAGCTGCGCACGCGCAGCTTCCGGCTCCGTGTCTCGGGAATTATTTGACGCCGCCACTTAGGACTCGCAGAAGTCACTGATCAGGCGTGCCGCGCACGCGCGGTGGTCCACTCGGCTCGGGGAGTTATTTGACGCTGCCGCCTCTGGCAGTCGGAAGTTGCCTGAGCAAAGCCCAGCCGGCCGGCCTGACCGGCCTTCCTCGTCCCCAGGCGCCCTCGGAGAGTCGCTGACTGGTGGACAGACCGACAGTCGGGGCAGCAAAAACGCCGGCCCTATGGCGCAGGTGGCGTGAGGCGGGAGGCCAAGTGCGGCCGGCGGTGGCGGCGCCCGCCCTAGCGATGCCGGCCCCGCCCGTCGCCTCAGGTAACCGAGTGGCCCTCCCCGTCGCTACCGGACCCTCCCCTTTCCTCCCCTCCGGGCGGTCCCAGGACGCCCCCCCCCCCCTTTTTCTCGGTCCTGGGTGCTTCAAGGGCCCGGCCTTCGGAAGCACATCGCCGCATGTTTTCCGGGGACCGACGGGGTCCGGGAGAACTTGGCGCTGGCGTCGGCGGCGTCTGACGGATCTGTTCAAACCCGGTCCGGTCCTCGGGAGCTGCCCGCCGCGCGGAGCTCTCTCCGGCCACCTGGGGAGGGGGCGGGTCTGGAGCGGAGCTGGCAACTCCCGCGAAGAACCTGGTCCTGCGAGGTTGGTCGAGTTGCTTCCTCCCGGTGGGGACGGTGCTGCCCATTGCACAGTGACACCCGGAGGGGGAAGAGTTAACACGGAGACTAAACAACTAACCCTTGTTAAGCGCTTCCTTACGCCAGGCGTGGTGCCCGGCCTTGACGTTCACTGCACCCAACTTCACGACAACCCTGTAAGGTAGAGTTCTGACCCCCGTTTTACCGAGGAGGGAACTAGGGCCCTGAAGGGTTGGGTGACTGACTTGCTCAAGGTCACTTAGCTGGTAATTTGAACCCCAGCAGTCTGACTCCAGATTCAAGTTCTTAAAATGAGGTCAGCGTCTCTCCAACTTTGCTGCAGGTGAAAGTCACCTGGGGGAGCTTTTCAAGATTCCTGATGCCCAGGTAGCACACCCAGAGCAATTAAACCAGAATTTGGGGGGGGGTGAAGCCGGACATCAGTTTTTTGTTTTTGTTTTTAAGATCTCCATATGATTTCAGTGTGCAGCGAAGTTTGGAAACTGCTAGGTTAACTTTGCATCTGGACGTTTCCGTGTTTCTCTCTTGAAGTGTCTAGGAGAATCATCCGGGAGTTTGTTAAAAATGCAGTTCCACCTGCAGAGGTCTTTTCATTAGGCCCATTGACTACTACTTTTTAAAAGTTTTTTTGGGGGATGGGAATTAACTTTTTCTGCAGGATTTCTGAGTTAGGTGGACTTTTTAAAGTGTATACATGTCATGCAAAGCTGTTAGTTTGCAGTTTTTCTGAATGTACAGTACTCATAGGTATAGTGTCTCTAACCTTTGGGTCCTCTTTGCATATGCTGTTCCTCTGCCTAAACTGCCCTCCACGCTTTCTCCCCACTCAACCCAAATGCACACATTTCTGCTCTTATACACGTGCATGTATCTTTTTCTTCTGGTCTCTGGCTGTATAACTCCTGACATTCCCAATATTCAAGATGCCTCTGTGACCCCAGCCATCTTGGGTCTTTCCTGTCTGCTCCTTAGCATCATCATAATGGAATTTACCAGCTATTTTTCTGTGTTGTTTCTATCTCTTCTAGATTATGAGCAGCTTGAACTATGTATTTTTCATCTTTGAATTCTTCCCAGTGTTTTGATGTAGAGACTCACGTAGGTTTTACTGAATAGAATGCTTGAGTCCCTTTTATGTTTGTAAACTTCATGCTTCAAATAGCTTCTTTTCTATTTCCATTTTTGCAAAAGGTATTTGATCGTTCTTAGCTTATATAGTTTTGTTCTTTTTGTTTGGAAATACTCTAGGTTATTAATTTATCCATCTAGAAACGAATAAACATATTGAGTTCTTACCACTGGCAAGGCATTATGCAGGACTAACTCCGTGCAATCAACATTGGTTGACTTTGTTTGATTTTTTTCAGAGAGAGAGGAAGACATCGATCCATATTCCACCCTTTTATGCATGTATTGGTTGACTCTGTGTGTACCCTGACCAGGGATCAAACCCCAGATCTTGTCACACCGAGACGACGCTCCAACCAGCTGAGCTACCTGGCCAGGGCAGCACTGGTTGATTTTTTATATCTGACTTTATTCCAATCAGATACAATCACTTCTTAATGGAAACCTGTTATTATCAAAATCCTTAAGCTTTTATATATGTTCCACACCTCATTGTCTGAAATAATGTTTAATTGTCATCCATTAAATATTATTGCCTTGTTCATACTTGGTAAATATTAGTAGATGGAATTGCTATAGTTCATCATATTCACCAGGAAAGATGATATAAGAAATACTTGATGAAGAGTAAAATTTTGATGTCAGAGGAATTGACAAACTTAGTATATATTTAGTGCATACTGCCTGAAGTGCTATTGTCCAATATATTTAAAAGTTTTAAAGGAAGGCAGGGCAATAATTCAGATTGTATGTGTTCTCGACTGGTCTTAAAACCATGTAAGTTTTATAAAAGTGAGTGAATATGTGCGTGAAGGTCATTATGAAGAGGTTTTTAGGCAAAGTTTTTTTTTTTTTTTTTTTATCCTCACCTGAGGACATTTTTCCACTTTTTGTTCAGATAGAGTGGGAGGGAGAGAAAGGAAGAGAAAGAGAGAGAGAAACATTGACGTGAAAGGGACACATCAAGTGGCTGCCACTTGCACGACCAACCAGGGCCGGGGATAAACCGCAGCTGAGGTATGCGCCCTTAGCGGGAACCGAACCCGGGTCTCTCCAGACCGCAGGCCAGTGCTCTAACTGCTGAGCCAAACTGACCAGGGTGGCAAAGATTTTTTTTTTTGTAGCAGTTAAATATGGCAGAGTATGTGACAGAATAAATATAGGCATTTCATATAATGGCATTCTTTGCAGCATAAGGATTGTTACAAAAAAAATTTTTTTTGGTTCAGTTTTGTACTGTCTCTCGATTTTTAGGCTAAGGCTAATGTAGAAACTGATGGGACAATTCATGTTAAATTCAAATACTCAAGAAACCTGCCCTTGTTTCTCTGATCAGATATGGACAGAGTATCCAGTTTTGGCCTCAGCACATGGAAGAAACTCAATCTTTAAGCCTGAGGTTTAAGTCTCTAGTTAATCTCCATAGTAAAGGTAAAATTTTCACATGCTCAGTCAAAGACCAAAAATGACTCTAATCATGATAGCCTGAGACCTAGAAAGGCATTCTGTTTAACTTGAGATTCTTGTCAATGTTAGCAGGTGTGTTCCCTGGATTGTGAAAAGACCTTTCAGGTAGAACACATGATTTCCTTTGGTGTAAGATAATTCAAGTTGTAGAATTAAGGTACATGGAATTTAATTGTAAGTTTTTATAGGTAAAGAAAGTAGGTAACTTCCCCAAGACTTACATGGTTGGCTTCTAGCACATCTGGGACTAGAAATCAGGCCACTTTTTTCTGGGCGCATTGTCCCCTTCCACATCCATTCCTCCCATGTAAGAAGATGTCTTGGTTGTTGTTTTGTATGTGTGTGTTGGGGATGGGGAAAGTGTACAGAGTAGTCTACTATGTTTGAGATATTCAATTACATGTAAAGCAAGTGCTTGGTGTGTGCCATGTGTACTTTGCTATATAAACTTGGATACCAAGGTAAATAAGACACAGCCCCTGCCTTCAAAGTGTCTATGGTCAAGGTTGTAATGAAAGTAAAAGTATAGTATCTGTCAGCCCTAAAATAGAACTTTCTACAGGAACTGTTCTATGTTTGTGTTGTCCAATATGGTAACCACTAGCCACTAGCTACATGTGACTATTGAGCACTTGAAATGTGACTAGTGTAACTAAGGAACTGAATTTCTAATTTAATTTAAATTTAAGTAGTTACATGTGGATATGGCTACTGTATTGGACAGAGTAGGTCTGAGGCATAAAAGATGAGAACTGTGGTGGTGCTATTGAGGGGAAGGCAGGGTATTCATATATATATATGAAAATTTTTTTTTTTGATAGACTAGCAAAAACTACCTGTTCCCACAATAGGGAGGAATATACACAGAACCTGTCTGTCTATCTTGTAATTCAGGTGTTTGGTAGGATCCCTAACAATTAGAATCTGGTGTGTAGGTGAATACATTCCTTTTTACTAAACTTGATTGATATTTGCCTTGTAAGGTCAATAGGACTACAACAGAAATATGAACTATGGTCTTTTTGTCTTTATAGTCATAAAGTTATATGGATGACCTTGAGTGTACTTGTGTGCCTTAATGTCCAGCAAGGTTCATTTATTTACTCAGTGTTTTAGAACTCTGTACTCTATATTTCTTTCTTTTTTTGGTTAATTCTCACCTGGGGATATTTTTCCATTGATTTTTTTAGAGAGAGTGGGGAGGAGGGAGGGAGTGGGAGAGAGAAAGAAACAGCTACCAGTTGCCTCCCACATGCACCCTGGATGGGGCCAGAGAATCAAACCCGAGACCTTTCTGTCTGCAGGCCAGCACTCTAACCACGGAGCCACACTGGCCAGGCTGTACCCTGTGTTCTAAGAGAAATGAGTCATGCCTGATAATATGTACCTTGTATTTGTACATCTTAAAGTATGTTGAGTTATGTTGCTTTATTTTATCCTTCTCCCAAGTCATTTTAGCTAGGTACTACAGGTATTCTCCGTTTTACAGATGAGAAAACTGACAAAGGAATACCAAATAACTTTCGTCCAGGGTCATATGGTGAGGTATGGAGACAGAAAAAAGAAAAGAGCATTGGGTTCTGAGGCAAGTTTCTTGTCCCAGCTCTGCTGTTATTTGATGTGACCTGAGTAAGTCATTAAACTTACTTTGTTTCCTCACCTAGTGGCTAGTTATAATCTGTTTTACTTAGCTTTCTAGGCTTGTTTTGGAATAACATGAAGTAACATATGAAAACTCTTTGGAAATGATCAATTATACAAAGCTACATTGTTATTAAGCAAGATTTTTAGTAGTTTTTCTGTTATATGTTGCTACCTTCATACCTTGTTACATCAGTTACCATGTTGAAGACTACTGTAGTATGGTGTCATCATGGATTTTGGTTGCCTTCCTCACTATGAAACCTTCTAGTTGTTGTATCTACAGGACACAGTGGTACCTACTTTCTAAGACAGTACCTGACATGTAGCAGGTGTTTAATAAGTTTGTTTAATGAAATAATTGATGTCTAGATTTACTTTACAAAGTTTTAAAAAATTGTTTTCTGTAATTAGACTTGAAGCTC